AGACACTGGTACATCCTCTGAGAACACACAGACACTGGTACATCCTCTGATAACACACACAGACACTGGTACATCCTCTGAGAGCACACACAGACACTGGTACATCCCCTGATAACACACTGACACTGGTACATCCCCTGATAACACACTGACACTGGTACATCCTCTGAGGAGACACTGGTGCATCCTCTGAGGACACAATGTCTGACTCTGACCCGTCTGTCTGCAGGCTGCTGAGCTCCAGAGGTGGATCACAGGATCAGCTGCTGCTGCTGGGCGTCCTGTTGTCATCCTCCTCGGTTCTGATCTCTGGACTGGACAGAATCTCGCTGTCGGACCAAACGCTGGAGATCCTCTGCTCCGTGAGTTCAACGAGATCATCAGGAAAACTAATGACAACAACACAAACAAACTCACAAAACAACAACAACAACAACAACACACAATTCTGTGTGATTAAATGTAGGAGAGTCAAGTTCTTCCACAGTTTTTGTTGATCATCTATCACTTAATAAATATTGTTGAGCTTTTTGCCAGAGTCGACCACAAAGAGACACAAATACAACCACAATAAGACCAAACACAACCACAAAGAGAAATAAAATGATCACAAAGAGACTCAAAACAACCAAAAGGACATTAAAAACAACCACAGACCTCCTGGATTTTAACTCAGCTGTTGATCAAGTTGTGTTTTGTGTTGCAGGTTCGTCTGTGGACTCTGTCGCTGGGACACACTGTGGGTGTCACTGTGCTGTTCAACAAAGCGTGGAGCGTCTATTCACTGCACAGCTTCAAACAGAAAGTCAATAATGTCAGAAGTCTTATTGTACTTTCACAGTTTTTCCTAAATCGTCTGCTAAAACCCGAGTTGGCGTTTGATTTTCAGTTTGTGATGCTGCTGTGTGTCTGTTTGTGTGTTCCAGTGCCGGCGGCCTGCAGGCTGCGTCCTGCTCTGGCTCTTCCTGCTGGATGTGCTTGTTTTGACCTCCTGGCAGATCCTGGACCCCCTCAGACGGGTGGTGCTTCAGCACAGCACAGAGGTAAAAATCAACTTAATGATAGAAGTAGCTCCAATAATCCGTGAGTATGGCTGAAAAAAATTGTGTAAAAAAAAAAAAAAAAAAAAATCAACTTAATGATAGAAGTAGCTCCAATAATCCGTGCGTATGGCTCAAAGACAACAAATGTCAAAAAAAAAAAAAAAAGGTCCAACTTTGACCTCAAATTAACAACAACAACAAAAAAAAATAATAATAATGCAGAAGTCAACCAGCGATATTTTCTGAACCATATTTAGCTACATGTAACAATAATACACAACAAAACTTATGATATACTTGTTAGAATTATTTATTAATATGAAAATATTAATATGAAATACTTGAACTGAACCGAATGTACTGAACTTTGATGGCTGATTGAGCAGGTTTGACAAGCTGTACGACAAAAATACAAGTATTGCTAGATAGTCTGATCCATGCAGGTTATTTAATCTGTTTGTCCAATATTACAGATTATAATCAATGACATGATGAGAAATCGCAAAAATTTCAGGTTTTTATCTTTGGTAGTTCTTGAGATATTATTGTTCAAACAGCCTCAAACTTAAATATAAGAAAAAAAAAACTTGCTGAAAGTG